ATTTTGTAACCAGTAATACAACAGAATTAAGAAACACTGAAAACCTTTGCTCTTTCTCCTACATGTCTTTTGTTACACTATATTTCTATTTATGCTGAGTTATAATTCACCTTTCCAGAATTGTTCAGATCATTAAACGTTGTAAAAACAAACAAATTCAGAGTTTCAGTCTGTGTGACGATCGAAGCACTTTTCTAAAGCAGTTTGAAGTGACTGGATACTTGAGAAGACGCAGAGTTTTGTCCGCCAGCCCGTACACTGCAAAAACCATCTTACCAAGTTTTAAACCTTATATCAGCCAAAAAGTCTTTTTGATCTTGTTTTCAGACTGATTTACTAAACAAGAACTGATTGTGTAAGAATAATCATCTTGTTTTCAGAATGTGTAAGATTATTTGTCTTGTTAGRCTGAAAATTTGACTCAAATTCAGTCAGAAATTTCTGCCAGTGGAGTAAGAAACTTTTACATGGTAAGATTCTTGAAATACTTGATTTGACTCAATGTTTTAAAACATTCTCAACTTTTCTGGCTAACAAGACAAATAATCTTACATATTCTGAAAACAAGATGATTATTCTTACACAATCAGTTCTTGTTTAGTAAATCAGTCTSAAAACAAGATCAAAAAGACTTTTTGGTTGGATACAAGGTTTTAAAACTTGGTTAGGTGGACATTTTTTGCAGTGTAAAGAGCGGCTGGAGGGCAGAATCTGGATCCTGTCCTGATCTTCTGCCCTCCARGTGGCTGAGACACACTCCGCTCTCAACTGAAAACTTCCGTCTGTGCTGACGACGAAGCAAATGTGTGTGAAGCTCATCCAGCGGTGTGAGTCCAAACATAGTGTGCCATAAATCAGATCGTAAACAGCCCGAGACTTTTAACTTTGATTTTCTGTCCACCAGATGCAGAGAGACTCATGAATGAGCTATAGTGAAGAGGAAAAGTGAAAAACAACGTGCTAACAGTACATGGATGACAAACTTGTGATCATTTTAAAAGAATAAAATCCTCAACAACATGAATGATTTTAAATCATTTCTGAAGAAATGATAATCAGGGTTAGAATCAAGGAATGTGAGAGACTAACTTTGACAGCATGCAGCTATGAAAACAGCATTAGTCTCACATTTAGATGGGAGACCGGGGAAAGTTGCAACACTTTTTACATTTGACTCTGTTCCTCAGAGATGGTTTGAATTAGAC